CACATTAAAACCAATACGTGACGCTACTTTGAGATCATCTGCAACGAGTGTATCACGAAGAACAAAGTAAAATGCGGGCAAAACACGTTCATCTTCAACACGAAGTAAATCATAAAGTGGTGGTGCGTTGTCTGAACAGAAGAAGCATATTTGAAACTACTTTATGTTATCAATTTGCTTATTTACGTCCCTATATGTCCAGAATATTTACTGCGGTGTTTTATTTTCTCTAATGCTAGAAACGATGCTCGCCTACCACCAGCTTGTCTCAAGCTTTCAATACATTTCTGTGCTGTGCCAACATCTTCCATCAAAACATTATCTAAATGACCACATGCTATAGAAATCGCAACATCATATTTCGAATCGATACCAGCCATTTAATATATTAAATTTTAAATATTTAAATATATGGTATACACATAATAAACGTCCGAGTACACCAGGTATTTGCCCAGAAAGTTTTTGTCTAATCAAAAAGTCAATAACTTTATTGTTGGAACGGGCCATTCTTAAAGTGGTCACCTTTTCATCGATCTAAAAGAGAATAAAATCAATTCCTAATAAGCATACAAACTAATTTGTGTTGTGATCAATTACTTACTTGTGACTTAAGTACGTTGACTTGTTGTCGTTTGATCTTCTCATCTTGATTAAATTTCACCAATTCCTGCTCTTTTTCCTTGATACATTGAGCTATTTCTGGCAGTTTTGATTGAATCTCTTCAAATTTCTCCTTTTGTATTTTCAAGCTTTCAAAAGAATCATCATAGAATGTTTTAAGAGTTGCATATTTGTTTGCTTCTACTGTTTCATCACGTTTCAGGATGTTAAATTCTTTCTCCAGCAGTATTTGTTCCGATTTTGCACTATCAAAAATCGAAGAGTTCGGTTTTTAATTTAGTTCGTTTTTCAATCAGAGGTTTTGTTTGCTCTTCGAAAAGAATGTAATTTTTTTGTAAATTCTCATCAGTTTCTGGTTTCTATTTAGTTAGTTTCTCCACTTTAGTTTCGCATTCTTTGATTTCAGCTTCGTTCTTCTCTGATATTTCCTTCAAAGCTTCCAGATTCTCTTCACATTTCTCTAACGAAACCTTATTCTCTATACGACGTTTGTTAACTGCTACCATAGTGCGTTGTAGTCTAGTAAAATCACTGATTGCTCTTTCTAGACCCTTTCCTTATTTTTCTTTTTCTTCCGTACGGCGTCAAATTCTCTGATAAATACGAACGCAATTAGAATATTATTCAAATACACATGGTTAATAATTTTTAATAGACAAGAATAAGAAATGTTTGCTTAGATATTAAATGTTTGCTTAGATATTAAATGTTTGCTTAGATATTAAGATATTAAAATTAATTGTTTTTTTTATTTTGAAGAAAGAAGGATCGTAAATTGTGTGAATTTCCTAACAATGTGTATTGAATGTGTATTGGAAGACGCAGTGAAATGGATGGTATTGGAAATTTCTTCATATTTCATTTAAATTGCTTGTTAGAATGACTCAATTGATTTCTGAATTGAAAATCTACGCAAGTCGCTCACATAATTACTTAATAAAATTTAACCAGATTTGTTTCGCTGATGTTTTAGAGGTTTTATAAACCCCTTTAACGTATTTAAATTTACTCCACATATGTTAATAACTTTCATAAATCATTAATAACACAAATAATTTCATATAATTCCTTATATGAAATAATTCCTTTCATATATAATTCCTTGAACGTTATTTGAACGCTTAGGGTCATGTTGTGTGAAGTGTCTCGGGTACGGCATGAGTAAAATTGTTGTTGTTTTTATGTTGTCCAGTAATAAATGTCAGAATGTGCTTCTTTTAGGAGCAAATTACTATAATTTTAATTAATTTTGAACGAAAAATGTCAGGAAGTAACACAGCCTATTTACAGACTGTTAATGATCTAATTATTAGACCTTCTGGTTTTAAGAAAAGGCGTATAATTTTGTAATTACTGTTAAAAATTATTATATGATAATAGAATAATAAATTTACAATTTTTTACAGCCTCTATGAATTTTTTCTTGGTGGTTATTTCTAGTGACAAATTGAAAATGAGCATATCTACATTTCCTTTTAAATTTAGACACAACCAAAAAGTATCAAAAAGTAGTAAAAATATGAAATTGGCAATACTGATGCGACACTTCACATAAAATGCATTTCGGCATAGCCCGAAAGAACCAATTTTGCCGTACCCGAGACACTCTTCGTATAATGGCCCTTACTCAAGTAAGTTACTTGAGAAAAAATTATTTTATATTAAAATATATAATAACTTAAGAAATGAAAATTTGAATTATATTGGTTATATTACTTACCGCACCAAAATTAGTTTTTTTTCATGATTTTTCCATCTACAAAATAATTAAAAAGATTTGAAATTTACAAATATGAATCTCGGTATAAAAACACTAACTTTATTATAGGAAACACAATAAATATTTCAAATATAATGTAAAAGTTTTATTTCACGCACCTTGCTCATCGTTTAGATGCTACCTCAATGACAGAAAATCTAATAATGGCGAAATTTGCTATTTCAGCCATTTAATTTTGGAAAAAATTGAATGTTGCCTACTTGCACAAATTTTAATAATTTGTAAAGTTGAGTATGTTACACCAGAGATGGTATAATATACTCAATATATAAATATATATCATAAAAAATATAAATATATATCATATATCATATAATAATAGCTTATGAGCGGGCTAATATTAGTCATTTAAATAAAGACAAAAAAACTATAAAATAAAAAAACGGAGTATCTTATATATATAAATTTACACATATATTTAGTTATATAATTATCTACTTATATACAACAATATTTTCTAAACATGATGTTTATAATAATGTATATTATATATGATATTTTTAAGCAAATATATGAAACATCAATTTATTTGGCAGCTTTATCTAAATACAAACCGATCTGATTGTAGAATAGGTCTATATTGTTTCGAGTTAAATTTGCATAAAATCCATTAAACTTAAGAAAACTTTTACTTACTTACTTTACTTTTACTTATAATATGTAGCTGTAGGATTAGTTCACCCAAATTGCAACTTAACCAACTGGCCTATAACTAACAGGAGTATGTACGTTAATGATATATTTAACTATATGTATACCAATTTTGAAGAATATTCATATAAAACTAAAAAAGTATTCTAAACAATAAATCAAATCTGCATTTAAATGAATAAAAAGCACTTATTAATTTTATTTATTGCAATTTTATTTGATTTAAATTTTATTTGATAAATTTAAATGTAAAAAAATAAATTCCCAAATAATGGTTCAACTATGAAATTAGTCAAAATAAGTTGCCTAAATGGAAATAGGTCAGAGAATTTATCATTTGGATATATGTATAGTATTGTTCATCAAAAAATATAATTACGGAAAGACCATATAAATCTGCTATATATTCCTAATACTAAATAACAGCTCTTTACGTTTCTTTTGCCGAAATATACAGAATTCAATTTTTTTTTTCTGGATTATTAATCCACATTACACAGCAACCTACTGTGTCATTTCTATAATAGCACAACAGCAGTTGATGGTCTACTTGCCAAATTGACAAAAACAGTTGATCCCAAAACTTCTTATTGTGCAATAAAGATTAAAGATACGCAAAAGCTAAGCTTCACTTTGTCAGATATATACGTTTTACAAAAAATCTAATATGTGCAATATTTGTCAATATCTGAGACAATATTTTGAATAATAATAATTTACTGTATTTATTTTTAATCAGATATGAGTTAAAAAACAAATTTTTTTAATTTTTTAGTTACACAAAGGTTTAATCTATTGCTACATTAGTATTAAAAAATTTTATATCCAAAGATAATTTATTCATAACATTTTTCTTTGGTATTAACCATAAGACGCAATAGATCTTTATTATTATTATTGTTAGGGGATGTAGCACTGCGACCATCGGGTTTATTGTGCCTACTTCTGTGCTTAGAGTAGGTCTTTAAGTCAATAAAAAGTTGTATAGAACCTACTTTACAGAGTTGTATTGCCTCTTCCGTAAGAATATACATTCCTAGGAGTCTATTTCATATATGCATTACCGCACATGTGGGGCCGACTCCTTATTCTCTTCGCAGAATCTACAGTTTGCATGCGTATGTATACCCAGTCTCTTAATATGGTATTTTAGTTTACAGTGCCCTGTTAGGATTCCTGTGATGATTCTAAGTTTTTCTTAGAAAAAGAAAGGTTCATACAATCCTGATATCTCTTATTGTTATATGTACCAATAAGTGATTTGGATTGTTTTAATCCTGGTATATTATTCCAGTAAAATGACCTATAGATCTTTAAATCGCAGTATAAAGTTTCCAACTTAAAAAGAACAATAATCGACATTAACATTAAAAAAAGTTGAAAAAAGTTTACGAAAAAAACAATATAATGTAACTGGACAACCTCCCGCCTGACATCTCAGCCCCTAGCACCGTCCCTGCGGACTTAGTCCAGATACTCTCATCCCTTCATTATCCCTTTCTTAAATCGTGACTCTCGTGACCCCGGTCACAGAGTCTACAGCTGGTATCCCCGTTCTTGTGCAATAACCTCACCCTGCTTTAAGCCAATGCTGCCTGGTTTAGCTGAATTTAGTTCGCTAGGTATTAGCCCTCTTGCTCTATTCTCTCTCTCTTACTGAAATGGGGTTGTATTCGCTGCAATTTTCCATATTCATTCCGAAGAGGTGGTTTTATTGGGTTCAAGTCTCACATAGCTAAACACTAAAGTAAGAAAATAAGCGGGACAGAGTACGCAAATAATATGGAACTAAGCAAAGAATAATGGTGTACTTTTAATGTTAGAATTTTTTTAATTTGGTTAAGCATAGATGAATGGATAAACATGAAATTAATTTCAATATATGTTTTTATTGGTTAATTTTTTCAAGTGTGATAATGATATTTTCATATTTTAAACCATCACATGTTTCCGCTCTCTATATGTCGTCAATATGTATATCTTACTAAATACAGCATAGATCGAGTGGGTAAGCACTCCAAAACTGCTTGGATGTGATTGCATTATCGGCATATCACATAAACTCCATATATTGATTATATCGTTGTAAATAACGTTACCATTCGCAGATATCCATTTTGAAGTCGATAATATTTGAGTAGACAAATCTGTAAATATTAAAATAAAAAAAAAACGTTACCAATATATATATATAATAGATAAATATAGATAAAAGAAAAAATTAATCTTTTGTCAAGAAATTGCTCATTTACAGTAATTTAACTCTTAACACATCTTTAGAGTATTATTAATGGACGATTAGACAGTGCAGATCCACTTACTTGTTTTCAGTTCTATATTGATTGCCAAAAGTGATGAACAATCTTCTTTCACAGTAAAACTCTATTAAATAAACTTCCGTGTCTTGTGCATCTTATTCTTAAGTAACAACAAATTAGGTAACCCGTTGTTGTTGAAGTAACCCGTTGAATGGCACTTGGTTGCCGTGATTGACGAGTGGCTCCGGGACGCAGACCCGACCGTTCTTGGAACCTATGTCGTAATTTGGAATGTAAGCATGTGGTAAGTTATACTATTTTGCATTTATTATGAAAAATTTAAGTTTTTATTCTTTTGGAAAAAATAATCGAGTTTCAATTAAAAGAAATATTTGAAAGATTTGCGTCAACACATTGAATGTCAAAAATCAGGATTAGGAAAATATCCAGAATTCCAACAAAAACCTAAACAATTCATATAATTAATTTACCTATGTATGTTACCAAAAAATATGTATTTTAATTTCACCACTTATTTATCGGCCAAACACTTTTTTCCTTCATTGCAACTTTTTCTAATCAAAATAAATGTAAATAGTATTGCCATATCAAATATTTTATTGAAAAATATGAATTTTTATGCTTGCTAGAGTTTTAACAGACCCTTTCTCGGCCAAGAATTATTATCTATTATTGTGTATATTTTTATGAAAAATAACGTATATGGGTCATTCTTTTACAAACCGGACGGATTTTGGCAAAAAATGACCTTATGATCTCCGATTTGGCTGAAATTTTTTTTATGAGCTCCTTTCATAAAATAAGAAGACCCGTAATTCGGGAAAAAATTTTGTTATTTTTTCTCCTTGGAGATATGGACCCATGGGGTTTTGAAAAAAAATTAAAAAATTTGGAAATTAAAAGTTTTATTTTTTGATTAATTACATATATATTTTATTATAAATTAATTTGTTTTTCAAGAATGATGTGCATTTCTTAATTAATGAAATTGGTTAAGTCATCAAGTTAGTAGTATTTTTAATCACTTTTTCGCACTTTTCTTTAAGTTCATTTGTACATTAAAAAGCAATACTTCAGTAGTTCATTTTGTTTAAAATAATAAAATACATTTTTTACTTAACAAAAAACAAAAAAGAATATGCATTTACTTTTTGTTTACCTTTTACAAAAAAGGCAACAAAAAAACAGCAACAACATCAACAGTTAACCGTACAAACAAATATGCGCGGTTCATGTTAGTCCATTGGGGCTTCAAAAATTTGCGGTCCTTGCTATTTTATTAAACCCATAAAGTTCAAGCTTTGCTCATTTATGCTAGAGTCTAAATACACAACTGTGAAGGATGCCGTGCACAAGAATATACGCATGGGATGTGGACTTACGCGTTTGTGCACATTTAAGATAAAAATCTTTGCATATGCTTAGGCGCGTTCACATTGTGTATTTTGCACATAGCCTTAAATTTTTTTAAAATAATGTTTGCATCCAGAATGTTTGTTGTTTCATATTTTTTTCGTTTATTTTTTGTTTTACAATTAATTTGTGTTAAAAATGCTATTTTGTTTTCTAAACTGTTTTCTACTGTGTAAAGCAAAATATTTGCACCAAATATTTCAATTAAATTTAAATGCTACTTAAGCCAATGTAAGTTGCAGCGACAGCAGAAAAATTTTTGGCTAAATAGAAACTGAAGAGGTTTAAAATGTTAAAAAATGTTCAGATATATACAGAAATTTGTGATATGTCTAAGTACAAAGTGAGGTAATCACTATTGTCACAAAAAGTATGTTGTTCAACTATAAAAGTTCAACAACTGTTTTCGAAATAATTTCTCTAATTACACAATAGTAGCACTTCTTTGACTTAACAGCTAAATTAGATTTTTAACTTGCTCACTTACTTAGTTGGCCATTACAGACGTGAGACCTCCTTGACCGCGTCGAGTAGCCTCCGCCAGCCAGCCCGATTAGTTGCTTTCTGTTGCCAGTTGGTAGTAGATTTTAACTACAAAATATTAGAATATAAAATAATTTAAGGATTTTTGCTCAATACACGAAGTAAAAATATGGCGAAAATTAGAAAATTAGGTTATATCTTTTTAAATGCTAATAGTAGTTAATGTTTGATTAGAAAAATGCAAATAAAAACGGATGAAGTAAAAAATCTTGTTTGAAATTCCAACCACAATAAAGCATCAAACTTCAAATGTGCTGATTTATAGGAATGAACTCATTTAAGCAGCATAGCAACAGTAAATTTCGTATCTTTGCAGAATAAGTCCATATTAACTCTAAATTTTCATGATGCCGTCGTTGTGGATGCAGTAGGCAATAAGCATAAAGTGCCTTTGCTACCACAAACACCGCATTTTCGGAACAAACCAGCACTCCTGAAACCGATACACTATTTGCAATGAAGTTTATCTCGCAGTAAAATTTTGAAGTACAATCAGTACCAGCATAGAAAATAGAACCAAAAAATGGAATTTAAAATTATTTTTCCGAATTTGTTCTAACTCTGTTAAATTGGCGACAATATAGTTAACTTCAAATACACATAGATATAAGTGTACACACACATATATCCAGAGAAAGACTCACAGATCGCAATTACCATTCAATAAGAACATTTTTCATCATATCTGACTAAAAACCGTTTCATTTTTATTCTTTCTGGATTATTGCAGTCTGGCAAACTATTTTTTGCATTAGATGTAAGCACAAGCATCTAGTACTAGTACAAAGAGAGTACTTCAATTAATTGTAGTGAAAATATTTTGCTTTGTATCATAATTTGAACCTTCAATACACATTTTTGGACCGGCTGACATACCAGTATTTGAGCAGTGTTGTGGAACTATTTGCAGCAGAAACAAGAGGATTTGTGTTTAAGGTGTGACGTATTGGTATGTTCGTTGTGGGATTTCACTTCCAGTATATTGGAATTGCATTAAGTTACGGATAGAACTACTTATACCAATTTGTGCTTTATTGAAATATTTCAGTTCCTCCAAAATGAAGTGCATTACTAGTAGAGTAATGCCGAGAGTTAGAAGCGTACTTTGTATTTATTATTGAGAACAAAACCTTTTGTTTGATAGAAGAGTGTAGAAATATTTTTATAAAGAACTGGTCGGTATTAAAGGAAATACATATTTAAATAAAAGCAGTTGGAGTAATAAGATTAAATGTAGTAAAGTTGTCTACATCTATCTCTCTCTTCAACTTATTTCAGTCGAGAGTGAGGGGAACTTAGCATAAATTTAGGTTGTTGTTTAAGTAAGTGGTTAGTCTTACATAAAACCTAACATAGTGAGAGTATTATTGACATTTTTGGTTTTATAAATACACTTTTTATTTAATGCTCTTATTGAATGTTGTCGCAATATTTTTTTAAAATTATATTTAATAAATCATCCGTAGTGAAAATCTGTTATCATTACATTAATACATTTAGTCGATAAACTATACAAACCTTAATGAGTATTCGTACTTAATTACTTTAGTTAGCTTTAACTTAGTAAACACCCACTTTGGTTATTAATCTCCTATAAGTCTTGGAGCTGATAAACGACCAACACTTCTCCATGAATTTGCATTAAAATTTTAATAATATTATGAAGCTATAATAAATGCTGTCCACTCATCTAATTAAGTAAAGTTGTTTTTAGACAGTAAAAAGACAAGATAAGGTCTTATGTTTTCCGAATAAATGTTAAAGAACTGCGTTGGATGGACCGCTGTTCCATGTTATTAAAAAGCAAAACTGTGCTGATATTTCAGCTTATGAAGTTGATTAAAAAGTACCAAACACAAACAGAAGTGTTTTCTCAACACTTCAGTTGAAGTCTATTAATTATGATAATGCATTTCATCTAATTTCTTCCTATTTCTTCAAATTTCATCCCATTTTGAGTATCTTTATTCAACTACGTCGTAATTTGTTCCGCGCTTATGGTTGTTTGTATCTCGTAAACAAAAGCGAAGAGAATTTAGTTCACTTGCTGAATTTTCATCATAATTGCGAACTAATTTTAATTTCCTCACCAGCAATGATGTTAGCAGAATGGTGTTGGGAGAATATATATTTTTGTGAAATTCCGTGCATAAAGCAACATGAACTTCTAGGTTTGACTTCAATGCCTTACGAGAGATTTTCAAACTTATGACATTTTTATAGAAAAACAATTAAGATATGACCTTTTACATACGCTGTCAACTGTACTCCAGCTACTTTTACTTACTGAGTAGGAATTAAGTCAATAAAATTAAAATATGCAATTATTATGACTTTACAGATATCAGTAGATTAGAATAGTTTAAATTCAAAAACGAGCTGGGAACTTAACACCACGTCATTGCAGCCTTTGAGGATTATTGTGACATATCCATTTTAGTTCCATATACGAGTAGCAGTTAGAAAGACTATTATGTCCCTTGGAGAGATGTTGCCTTATTTAATTATAAATGGATGGGCAGAGATATATTAGATACAGATAAAAGTATGAACTTACTCTAATAGGTTTGTGATACAAACTTGGTATATAAATATTAGGTTAGTAATTTCGTAATAATTCTTAGGTTATTCTTCTATGCATTCCTTAAATCGTTTCAGGTCGGAAGTCCTTAAAAGTAAAGAATATTTATTAAAAAAGTTCGTCATAATTTTTATAGCAATGTTTCACAACTTTAGCATGTCTAGCGATTACTAAACGATCCAGATTGTAAAATAGCAAACACTAAATTTAATATATAAAACGTTGTGTCTTATTTTTTTTGCACTTAGAATCACTGTTACTAAGACAGTGATTCCAAATCAACACTATGAAATGGATAACAGTTTATAATAGACTATAATTATTTGAGGTCTGAAGCTGGATTGAAAAAATTAAGGAACGAATATTAAACTTTTATAAATATTTTTTTTTTAAATATTTTACATGCTAAAACAACTTCAACAGCCATAATTGTCCCATTTTATAGTGTCAGAACGGTCCATTAATTGAGCTCAAGTGTGCTTTGGGCAGAAGGCCGGCACTCCAACGTAACCTAACCTATCTTTATAAACTGACTTTCCGCTGCGGCAAAATATATGACATTTTAATTTATGCTCTGCTTTCTAGCCTACTAGTTGTCAGTGATTTGTTTACTAAATACTGAATTCTAATATCAATTTGTATAATATTTCTTTATTCGAAACTGCAATTTTCATACTCAATACTTGAACGCTGAGGTCCAACACTTCAATTAAAATGAAAACAGTTTTTGTAGTTGATTAAAGAGTCAGCTATATAGGATTGCCCTCGCTTCACTTCTGTTCAAGTATTTAAGTACATACTTCGCATAGCTGCAAATAATTCAAAATAAAGAAAAAATCGTATCTAAAAAATAAAATTAAAATAAATTTAATATTATTCGCATAATTTGTGGCGTTGCCAAAAAATTTTTTATTCCATCACTCGTTTAACCACGCAAAAAACAAAAAGTTACTCTTCATACAGGATAGAATCCTTTTTTCGGTTTTGCCCTGAAGCCATTTTTGTTGGTAGAGTGC